GAACAAAGACAAGTCAATATATTAATTAAGTGCCCACTATGGCGCTGGTATTAACTCAGGAAAAGATGAATGATGGGAACTTTGACTAAGACAGTTTCTGCAGTTCTCATGCCTTACAAATAGGTTGCCAAATGGAAGAGAACACGATATGACAGAAAGAAGAGGTGGTGTGGCAATGAGTGGACAAAGCCGGTGGATGCGAGGAAAAATTAGTGACTACAGCGAAGGCACTAGATGCATTCAAGAATGTCAATCTGTAGCTGGACCGATCTGCAGATGAATCATACTGACTATTCACGTTGTCATCATGATCGAAGCTTGACACTGATCTATGTCGACGCTAGTATTATGATATTTCAGACTGAAGAAGAAAGAAGTTCATACGCTTAGGGGACACAGTCGTTAGCACAGTATAGTAATTCTCATGATAATTATAGTGAAACAAGGACATGGATCCTCGTCGAACTGAATTTTACGAATTGAGGTTGTGCACAGCATTGGGCTTTCTGTAATTACTTTGAAACGGTTTGTAACTCCACATAAAGCAAAAAGTTGTTAATAATGAAAATTATGTAAATCGAAGGATGCTTTAAGTTAGCTAGGCAGTTGGGTATCTGTTTATCCAGAGGTTTTGCTTTGCGATGTGTCACAATTTCTTTCAAAGTTGTTATAGAAAGTAATCACGCAGGAAACGATTTTTCGGTGTTTCTGCTAATGTGGTTGAGTTACAGCCCTGGAAATGTAGGGCACCCGAGAGCGGCGATACTCTGTGCATCTGTGATGGAGTTCACTTTTCCCTTGTCCGTAGATATGCGGAGACTGTTTTCTGATCTTTATGTGTATCGAATGGCGGGAATTCAGTAGTCATAAACCGCATGATTGCAGTAATGATCAGTGACTATCAGGTTCGGTCAGTAGATGCTGCCGAGTCGATTTTACAGATTCTTTCAATCGGCAGAACTCCGCAATTTATGATGGTATACAGATACTTCTCGACTTACAATGGGAATACATTCAGACGAACTCATTTTAAGTTGAAAATGTAGCAAGTCGAATACGAATATGGTGAATAAATAAGTAAATAACTGATGTCATTTAATAATTTAGTGAACGAATAATTACTGCAGCTACTAAATATCAATAATTGACTAGTTAACATTAATTGCCGGAAGATGATGCTGGAGAGAAGGCTACAGAGACAGAATAATCGGTTTCTTTTTCTTGATGAATTGCTTTCGTGAGAATAGCTCATAGAAGTCATTGCGTCGTTGACACTTGTTCATGGTTCAGTAACAGGCGCTTGCTTCTTCAGGAAGATATCAAATTTTGATTGAACAGTTTGTTTCTTCTTTTCATTATAAATTTCTTTATAAAAGGCATCTTGAATTTGTCTTCCAAATTTTGCAGATCTCAATTATGATCATATCGGCATCGTATGATACTTTCCTAAGCACCGTATGAAATGTTCACACTCACGATCGCTACAGAGATTGAGAGCGTATCGCTGTCGCACAGTCGTAAAGCGATGAGCATGTCTAATAGTTTTCTGGAGAGTAGCAAACACCACCGCACCTGTATAGATGATCTGTCATAGCAAGTAGCTGGAATCTGAGAAAAACCGTTATGTTCAAAAGCGGTAATGTGCTTCTCAACAGCCTCAGTAAGTAGTGTAATCCCTTGCCCTCTTGTAATCCTTTGCCACCTTGTGAACTCGTACGTAACGTGGCCAGTCCTCTCCAGGTGTTCTTTCAAGCTTAAACTAAGATATTTGAATATGTGTATGCACAGAACCGGCTCTTTCTATATTGTAAATGATGTTTGAAACCGATATTAGTCTTTTTCGGATGTTCTTTTCAAGAGTTGGCACTCTTCATATCGTTCACTAGTAAACTACTGTTCGTGACATACTAGTATATTTTGCCCACGATGCTTGTTTCGCCCACCTTAATGAATTGGCGTCATCTTTTGCATATCCGACACACTTTACGAGGCCGGCGGCTTGGAGTGAACTTGAGCACAAAGAAAAACCTTGTAGTACAGCAGAATTATTCCACATAATCTGTGAGCAGTCCCTTCCTTACAGCTGCAGTGAATAGATTGGAAAGTAGTTTGCCATCCACTGGAGCCAGCTTAGGTAATCTTCTCTATTATGTAGGTGTCTGAACAGATGCATCACTTCGTGATATTAAATGTTGACAACAGGTCAGTAAACAGTATCCTGGTAGCAGATTCTTCAAGTCTTGCTGAAAGGTCAGTGAAGCTCACAACAGTGTCTCTAATGCCACTTTAATGATTGAGTAAATAGTGATCGAAGATGGAGCGGCCTTGCTTCAATGCAAATTGTTATTTATCCTTCTTACTCTACAGCTGATTTTCAAG